GCGGAAACGTAGAAGCTCCTACCTTCGGGTGATTGACGTAACTGGATATCTAACGCTCTGGGGTTATGTGGAAGTCTCACTAATGATAACATCGTGCCCTTCGCAGCAACTGTACTTGCGGATGCCTTGTGACTCCATTGGAGCCGGAGTCGAGAGATCTGGGTCTCGCTGTTGTCAAGGACGTACAATCCACAACAAGCCGTCTATCGGACCCACGGCTCAACAGTCTCGGAGCAAGCATTTGCAGAGTGACGCACCGCACAGTTCAGGGTCAGATGATTATCTCCTGGAGAGAGTTTACTGACTCGTGCTGCAAACCTCAAACGATTGGCATCTTGTCCTGTGAGTGTTACGCTCACTTCGTCGATGAGAACGTCCTGGAAAAAAATCAATAATAGACATGCAGGCTCGGTAACGTCCATACACATGGTAGTCGGTTCTGAACGATCACTTCCAGGGAAAGACTGTCTTCCTCCTCGCTAGGGCTGGCATCACCATCGACGCTGACTAATATCACAGGGAGATCCGAGTGGATGAGATCTGGAAAATCTCCTGTCAGTACACCATAGACATGTAATAAGTGCCACGTCAATGACCCGAATCAAGTTTCTCTGCCGCCTCTCGAAGCGCGCTTACAAGTCCAGCAATGTATTCCATGATATCATCTTCAGACATCACTAGCTCCGTACTCCTATCGGTCACGTATGTCTTGAGGAACGCGAGAAGGATGTGGATCCACTCGCGATCACGCGGTTTTTTTAACGCAGCGTGTGTGTCTATCGCACGCGAGAGCATCAATGACTCCAATGATGTCCACCCGTGAGGAGCATAATGAGCTGGAAGAGATGTGAATATAGTGAGCGCGTTGGAGAGCCTTCCTCGGTAGCTGCAGTACATAGGCGCTCAGTTTCCAAAGCGATTGGACAGAATTGCAAGCATACATGTCAAGAACAGCTAGGCTGCCGAGTATTTTGAGCGCGAATTTTCTTCTCCCAGCTTTCACGCACACGTCAATGGCGCGGTTGGAAATCGTGGTGTATAAATCATAAAATGTTTCCTTGTTCTCGATAGCGGATATAATCTCGCGATTACTGATGGAACAGTCTGAGGACTTGTTGTCCGTAATGGGTGAATCTGAAGCGACTGCTGGGGCTGGTATCGCCAAGGAGAACGGTGGACTCGAGGGTAGATACCCTTCTCTAATACCGAGTATGTCAAGCTAGCGTTTTGCTCAACATCATGGTTGTTTACTATCAGAACATTTACGCACCTGACTTTTTGCGAGTTCAATCAATTCTCCTTTTCTAGCGCTGTAGCGTGTAAGGGATTGTGCATCCAGTTCTGGCCACGATGAAGCCCATGAGTCGCATTGATCCAGGACACTAAGAGCGGAAGAGAACGTCCAAGACTCAATGAAGTAATCGGGGAGTGAAGACTGCAAAATCTTGTGAGCATGTTGGTATCAAAGACACTGATATGCTCCCTAACCTCGATCCCCCTCAGGCGTCTTCCGAATGTACTCAAAAATGTGAACGCCTTCCAACAAATCTCAGACGGTTGGCACAACTTGCTCAGTAGCGCGGACTGCCTCGAGAGGAGATAAACCCGCAGGTCGAAGACGGAGATTGTGTTAGCAAGGATGAGATCACGATAAGGTTTCTTCGATGTGGATAGTAATGGCATTGAGTCGTCGTTGAGCGTTGGATGGATGAGACTGCCGAACCACGACATATTCTTTTCCCTCAGAACCTGCATGAAAGCGGCTTCGAGTTCATTGTATTGCTCCAGTGCATCCTCGAAGAGATTTATTCCTTCATACGAGCTTGCCAAACTTTCCTGAAACGACCCTTGTTGAGATATTGCGAAGGAAATGCTCGTAGGTTTACCTTCAGGGTGAAATATGTACAAAAGTTCCACCCCGGCATGTGACGCTGACTTTCAGACCGCTTCAGTTCCTCCTCCCTCGATAATACAGAATTATCGAGGGCAGAGAGTAGACCATCCTTGATCTTGCTTATGAGGTCGGCCCAAACGGCAGGACTTTGCTCGCCAGCAGACCAAGCGAGCTGCACGCACCTATGAGGTACTGTATACAACCACCCAAAAACCAAATTAACGCATGGCATTACCTGTCCCGCTTGTCAACGTTGAAATCTGCTTTGATTTTATCCAACACAGAGCTCTTCATGTTGAAGAACTTTCGGTCCACTACTTTTGTGTCTGGACGCACGACATGTACGATGAGCCACTCCTGGTTCTTCCTCGACAAGACGGACGTCTGCCAGTCTTTGATCTGCCTCTTGACGGTTGCTCTGTAGACTTCATTATCCTACATGGGGTTAGATAACAAGCCACGTCGGAGTACAAGTCCACTTACCTCACACGTAACCACAAGGAGATTCAAAAGAGGTTTCTCGAGGAGGGTGAGAGGGACTTGAGAGGTAAGCTCATCCCGAAGGGAATCGAGAGCAACCAAGGTCACCTCAAGCTCTTGGATGGTGCGTATACTGGGTCGGGAAGCAGACCTCCAGTGAATGCTGCGCAAGGGTAACTGTGACCGTAAAGCCGCAATCACTTGCTTGCAGCTCTCAGAGGACTGGGGTGCGGCAGCGAACGTCAGAAGGACATGCTGGCTTGACATTGCAAACAATTGTCGCGTCGATGCTTGACACGAGTACTATCGTAGTCTCTCGATCACTAGTACTCGTGGGAAAAAAAACAACACTACAGTGACTACTACCGTTTGCCACTAAATATCAAGTCTCAGATCAAATGCCAACACCAGACGAAGCCAGCACGTCCACTACAAAGACTTTCAGAGACCTTGGCCTCATCGAGCCTCTCCTCCAGGCACTCGACCAGATCAACTTCAAGACACCGACCGAAATCCAACAACAAACCCTTCCCTACGCTCTCGAGGGCCGTGATATCATTGGTGTCGCAGAAACGGGGTCAGGAAAAACTGCCGCATTCGCTCTACCCATTCTACAAAAACTATGGGAGGAACCAAAAGGACTCTTTGCTTGCGTCCTCGCACCCACACGTGAGCTCGCTTACCAGATATCACAACAATTCGAGTCTCTTGGAGCAGCCATGGGAGTCCGCTGCTTAGTTTTAATCGGAGGAATGGATAAAATGCCCCAGGCCGTGGCCCTCGCGAAGCGACCGCATATTATCGTTGCAACACCTGGTCGTCTGAATGACCATCTCCAGAGCACCAAGGGGTTTAGTCTAAGAAATCTGAAATTTCTGGTAGGCGCCATCATCTTCAGGGTGTGTGTTCGTACTGATCGCTCACGACAAAGGTCATGGACGAAGCGGATCGCCTCTTGGACATGGACTTTGGTGCCGATATCGACCTAATCCTCAAAGCGATACCGAAGGAGCGGACTACTTACCTCTTTTCTGCGACAATGACCACGAAGGTCGCAAAACTGCAAAGGGCTAGTCTATCAAATCCTGTACGAGTCGAGGTCTCGTCAAAGTGAGTAAACCAGTCCCGTTCCTCCATCGCACAGTTAACGATGGTACTAGGTATCAAACTGTATCAACTCTACTACAATATTATCTTTTTGTTCCACTAATACAGAAAGATGCTCACTTGATCTGTCTGGCAAACGAGCTGGCTTCGAATTCAATCATCGTTTTCACCAGAACAGTACATGACGCTCAAAGGTATGTGTATAGCATCGAATTTTCATGCATTGCATATGTCTATCCATCCCGCAGATTATCCATCATCCTTCGCACTCTTGGGTTCCCAGCCATTCCTCTTCATGGACAACTCAGTCAAAGTCAACGCTTAGGTGCACTCAATAAATTTAAAACAGGTGGCCGAAAGGTTCTAGTGGCGACTGACATTGCTAGTCGGTGTGTACACCGTAACATGACATCCCTTATTCAGCTGACCTTCGGAGATAGCGGGCTTGACATACCGTCTGTGGACGTGGTAATTAACTTTGACATCCCTACACATTCAAAGGATTATATCCATCGTGTCGGACGAACAGCCCGTGCCGGACGTGCTGGAAAATCAATCACGATAGTCACACAATACGACGTCGAACTACTCCAACGCATAGAAAAGGTCATTGGGAAGAAGCTCGAATTGTTTCCCACCAGCAAGGAAGAGGTAATGCTCCTGAAAGAGCGTGTAGACGAGGCCGGTCGGTTGGCTGTGAACGAGCTGAAAGAGGAGGCGAAAGCAAACGGAGGGAAAAGGCGGAAGCGATATGGGGGTGAGGCCAGAGATGACAAGGATCGGGACGATGATGTTGTTGAGGCAGGGATGCCTAGAACAAAAAGATCTAAAGGTCACCGGTAGTTGTCCATCGTTCTGAAACGAAACGACTACTTACAGCCTTCGGAGGGCCCACGATGGCGCTTATGATTATTGTTATAGATGACGTCAAACATGTGCCCCATGGCTGAGTTGGTCACAGCGTCCGACTGTTATGACATCGGAAGGTCGTGAGTTCGAGCCTCACTGGGGCAGTATTTTTATTGGTTTGGCTCATTGCACACATTTGGCGGTTCAGCACGCATGATTCCATGTTTCTGAAATTGTTTCTGATAGTTCCAAACTACTTCTATCTAGCACCAAACCAAGAGAATTTGTTTTGTCAACGTCGTACCGCTTGTACGCGAAAAATATGCATTTTCTCGGCCGTAGCTATACTTAGCAAAAACAACTGCCCCAGTGAGGCTCGAACTCACGACCTTCCGATGTAGGTTGCGTAACAGTCGGACGCTGTGACCAACTCAGCCATGGGGCAATCAATATCCTTTTCGAGAAGAGGTATGTAAGTTGAGAACAACGTGAAGTGAAAAAAAAGTCAGCGTCCACTCTTCCCCTCTCCAAGTGGCGAGGGCAGATAGAAACAGAAAAGACCAAAATGATAAATTATGACGATGGCAGTACTAAATGGGCTTCAAGCTCAGCACTGAGATCTTTCCGGTTCTTCTAGAAAGAGTATAGGTCTGAAAATGATGTAAAAAAGCGTCACCTGTGCGATTCGAACACACGCGGGCAAAGCCCAACCGCTTTGCTGATAGCAGGCGATCCCGTTAACCACTCCGGCAAAGTGACCTTACAACTGGCGATAGAGATAACAATATGTATCTATCGAACTACAGTGTTTTACCATGATATCTAGAGTTGAATCCATACCCTACACCAGCATCTTACATGAATTGGTTCATATATTGAATTAGTTTATCCACCTGATCTTCCGTCACCGCATTGTAGAGGGAAACACGAACACCTCCGACGGACCTACAATACGTGTTGAGTGCGCCTAACAAGCCGATAACGGGTTAAGGAATGCTTACCGATGACCTTTGAGCCCCTTCATTCCTCTCTGCTCCGCGCCAGACACAAATTCTTTCAACTTATCCTCTCCGCCAACGACGTCAAACACGACATTCATCTTGCTGCCCGAGCCCTCTAACACCTTGCCTTTGAAGATCCCTCGGGCTTCCCCTGCCTTCAAGGCTGCATTTACTTTCGAGGCTTTTTGGACAGTGCGTTCCCCATAATACTCGAGCGCTTTCTCCCTGGGTCGTCCATTTTGTGCCCCTATTTCCAGCATCCGCCGAAGCACCAGGCCAGTGATGTATATCGATAGGACTGGAGGGGTGTTATACAGACTGCGACTGTCCACCAGGGCCTTGTACGATAGACACAGTGGAATGCTGTTGTCAGATACGTTTGCCCACTCATCTCTGACGATGATGATCGTTAACCCCGCAGGTCCTATGTTCTTTTGTGCGCCGGCGTAAATGACAGCATGTTTATCGATGTATGGGATGGGACGTGACATGAAGGAGGAGGAATAATCTGCAACGAGTGGGGCCCCATCAGGGAGGCTGTCGAATGGGAAAGAAGTAGGGCTTTCTAGATCATCATTGAATTCGACGCCGTCGACGGTCTCGTTGACGCAATAGTAGATAAGAGCTGGGTCTTGGGAAAACTTATTTTTGTAGCTATCGTGATCGGGGATATGGTTAAAGGTCTTCTTCCCATCGTCGGCAATCGTCTGCGTGTTGACGATAACGTTGACGTCCCCTAGCCCGAGCCTCTTCGCCTCTTTCATCGCCTTCTCACTCCAGGAACCGGTGACGATATAATCCATGGCGGGCTTCTCCGCCGTGCCCCCACGGCTTCGATACCTTGCAAGCATGTTTAACACCACCGCAGAAAACTGAGCGGTTCCGCCTCCCTGAGCAAAGAGAACCTTGTAGTCCTGAGGGAGCCGGAGAAGTGTTCTCATGTTCTCTTCAACCTCCCGGATATATCTGTTGAAATCTGCTGAACGGTGTGATATCTCTGCGATACCAATACCGGTGTTCTGGAAGTTGAGTAGGCCTTTGCAAGCTTCTGTGAGGACTTCCTCTGGTAGGGCCGAGGGCCCCGCACCAAAGTTGATGACTCGATCGGACATGATGAACAGGATGGGTTCAGGCTGGAGAGTGTTGAGCGGTGACGAGTCGCATATATAGGTTTTGGCCAGGTGAAATTATGAGCAATACTGATGCGATGATGATTTATGGGACCAGCCCTAATCAGAAGGCTATCATCAATATAGTATTTTATGGTACGCAACCCTGGTGTAGCGTCCGACGACATTTCGACGGTATCAAATAAAATCCACAATATGCATTACCAGATGTTTATGTAGGTCCGAATCGAGTATTGACAACATCCCAGTTATACCGTCCGCGAATGATAGAATAAACTCAACTAAGCGTTATGGATATGAACTTGTGTTGATAGCTCAACCGACTGGTTCATTGCTCGCAGCACTCTCGCCTTCTGTCCAGTGATCCTTCAGGGAGACAGGGTCGGGCCTAGGTACACCACCATCAATGAGCTCCACCTGTTCACCATCATCGCTATCGCGGAAGCGCTGAGCATCCTGCACCGACGTGGGAAGGATATTCTCCTCACGTGGGACACGTGGGGAGTGAGGGCGATGAGACATGGGGGAGGCAAGTGAAGTGAAATATTGTCGATATGCGAAGTATGAGACAACAAGCCCTAGAATGGAACCGGCGACGACGTCGTGCCAATGATCTGATACAGAGTGAGGTTAACCACAGGATGTCAGCAGTCCCAAAGAACCTCACGTCTGTAATCCATCGTGCGTGAAATAGCTACAAGAGTTGCACCAGCCAATGGGGTCAAGGATATCCAAGCCTTGTGCTGGTAGGTCGTTTAGCGGACGGGTGTTCGCCAGGACTTTGGTCGCACTTACCGTGTGACCCCTATTGTCGAATAGGTGCATCTTTCCCGCGAGATAGAAAGAAAGGAAGCCCAGGCCAGCAAAAGACACTACATGATCATGCTCAGCAATCGCAAGGGTGTGCATACTTGGTGGACCTACGACTCGAGTGACCACTGGGAAAGCTACGCCACCCGTCGAGCATTATCGACTGGTCCGTCTGTGTACAGATTGCGTCTGTCGATAATCCATACGTTGAGTTTTGAGATCCGGTTTTGGGGATGCAACGAGAAAGGAGGTCTATATATAAATCATACAACGTCAACGACTTGATACTGGGGACCAGGTGATAGTCAAGCCAAACCTGGACGCGGACGGCCGACTGTGATCTTGGAGAATTGTGTAATAGCACCTGTGATGGCCAGACCAAGAATTACTAGAAGGTCCGTCAATCAATAGGCGTCTCTTGAAGAAAAAGAAATTAACAAACGGCCGAGGGCGCTGTTATGATAGTCCCAAAAGGATCGGACAGTAACTAAGTTGACGGCAAGCTGAATGACCAAGGGAGCCACGAGAGCTATAAAGTACAGAGCAAGATCCTGGATATTTGTGAGGAAAAAAATATGTGAATGTAGAAACAAACACACTGGTACACGTTCATGGACAGCATAACTATTCGTTGAGTGTCAGGATAGGGATGGATGAGGTTTTGAACCAAGCTTACGGGAAGCGAATCCTAGCGGTAAGCGTCAGTAAAACAACAGTTCTAGTTCGAGGACGACCTACGTTTCGTCATTGACAGAAAAATCTCTTCTGAATCCATGGACAGAGTTCAATGCAAAGAATACGACTCTGCAAACTCGAGGGTGACGACGATGACTCCAGAGGAACAGGGGACGTACGCTAGCAGTATCGTTAAGATCCTAACAACTTAGAGGTCAGCAGCGTGGTTTGCCTCTGCTCAACACACGCACCAGTCTGGGGCGTAACTCCTGAGGAGTTTGAGGCGCCTCTTGTTGTCGGTCTTCTTCGTCGCGACATTGCTGGGTGATCCCAAGAACTTGCTCAAGGGTGACATCGCGAACTGGTCTGCCCGGGGTGGTCTCATTGAAAAGGTGTCTTTTAAAGGCATTCGGCAGCTGCACCTCAATGCATGAGCATTCTGCCGAGATCTTCACACAGCTGATGGTCTTGGCAAGAGCTGCGGCGGCACGCTGAGTCGGGTCCCGAGACTGCGAGTTGAGGCGGTTATGATTTTTGTGATCATTGAAACGTTGACAGTTCAAGTCAGTATCACTAATGCTGCACATAAATCCAGAGAGAGTTCCGAGTGATCTCAGGATACAGTAAGTTGATTGCAATGGTCAGTGGGACTTTGCAAGCTTTTTTGTTATGTAACCATCCCAAGTTCGAGACACATCATTGTCATCAATTGCAGGGACGTATGGAAAGCCGGACAACCGCGCATCGATGTGCGTACTTATTTGGTCAAAGTGCTGAGTGGACACCGAACACTCTCAAGTGTCGTCGGTCGATCGGTCCTGATGCTCAATACATCGGACCACGTGTTCAATTTCTCAGGCCTCACGCTCAATTTCTTGGGTCTTCGCTCACTAGAACTCCTTCCTTTGGGCCTTGTGCTCACGTGTGGAGCGTCATACGACACCTGAGGCTGTAGAAATGGTCGAGACAAGGGTGAAACTTCGTTTTTTTGAACCTGGTATATTTGTGCGACGCTTTTGGACGCTTACATAATTGCTTTCGACCGCACGTGCCGCTTGGCGCTTTCCGCCCGTCCAATGACACGACGAGAAAAAAAAGCAGATAAGATAAGCACACCCTCCAAGTCACCATCGTCGTTCGCCTTCCCCGCCTTGTTTGCCCTTGCTTGTTGTCCGCAAGACGACAACGATGACCCTCGTCACTTGCCCTCCCCACCTTTCACGCCATTGCTGTCACCCTCACACTGTGGTCGCATGCCGTCAATTTCAACTTTCGCGGACGACGGCAAGCGGCTCCCAACTTGCCCCTCTCCGTCTCGCCAGGCAGTATTGTAATAATAAAGCTTCATTTTCTTGACAGTTGTCCTTTCTCGACAACTGTTGAAGCTTCAAAGTTCAGCATAGCCACACCGCCTTTTTCAGGCTTATATAATCGCTTCGCGCACTCGCGCGCACTGCCAGCACCTCGCGACATGTCCATTTTGGGATATTTCAGTTCAACACATCCTCCCCTCCATTTCTGCTCAACCACTTGCTTTCCTGGCCTTGGGGATTGTTTTAATGGGCTCCACTAGTGTTCTATAGTATTTGTGAACATTTATAACCCCTTGAATTGTATTGTAGGTAGATAGATATGTGGAAATGTACAGAAAATCAAAAAACTGTTCGCATTTTTTACTAGCTAGGTACATGACTTGGTAAAACTGATTCCCAGATAATATATATGTATAAGAATCATGTACCAGTAGCTTGCTTGGTGGGGACCTGTTTCTATGATGTTATAAGTACATAGTCCTCCTACCCCTGAATTACAGAAAAGCAGTTCGCATTTTTGATTGGCCAGGTAGACATACACTGAAGATTGATGTCCATGCACCTCATATATGTATCTACAAGGTATCAGTAGCTCAGATCCCAGGAAGCTTCCCCTGGAATGCAGGATCAGATACACAATATACCCCTATATGCTCTGAAGCAGTCACACCCTTGCTCCATGCATCAGGGCAACTATCTAGGGACCTGGAATACATACTGTACACTACATTACCAAGTTTGCGAAAGGCTAGCCTCAAGAATGAGAATGGGAGAGCCCAAATGACATAGAAAAAGCGTGAGAAATTGAACTGAAGTCTAGGAGATTTACA